GTCTTTAAATCTCAATAATTTCCCACTGTAAATATATTTCATGTTCCCTCTCCATTTTTCCATATCTTGGATTAGATTACCCTTAATTGTCAATTGTAAATGGTAATCCTTACAATTTACCAATTGTAAATGGTAATCCTCGCTGTTCAATATTCATTGCAATTCCCTTAATCTATTATATAGAATAACAAGCAATTTTCTCTTTTGCACAGTTTATAGATGTTAAAATGGTTTGCTGCCCCCGCTAAAAAAATTTTTTCTGCAGACGATCACGATCCCTCTATTGCCTTAGCCAGTGTGGTCCAGTATGTTCCTCTAGAGTTGATGGATGGCATCCTAAGAAACCTTACCAATGATGACAGCATCACCGACCTTCAGATGTTGACTGCGATTGGAAGGTAAAAAAAAATAGAAAGTCACTAGTGAGTCAGTCACCGGGACCAGAAGTTTCGTTTCCCAAGCTTTCAGACTCAGAATAATAGAATATCAGAGTTGGAAGGGGCTTTGGAGGTCTTCTAGTCCAACCCCATGCTCAGGCAGGAAACCTTAGGAGAACCATTTGTCTCCCGCTTGAGCAGGGGTTGGACTAGAAGACCTCCAAGGTCCCTTCCATCGCTATGATCCTATGAGTCTATGAGATTCTCAGCCGTGGGGAATTTTGGGATTTTTAACTATAAGATCCCTCCCAGGGATCTTAGATGCCTGTTGGGGTGTGTGTCTTCCAAAATAGATGGAGATTTTCAAAATATATTTACATTTTGATTTTCAAAATATAGTTACATTTTGGTCACATGAATAAAGTCCGTTGCATTACACTTTTTCTATGGTGCCAAGCAGAAATACTCAAATTCAGACAGTTTATTCCTGAAACAAGCATCCTTTAACTTTTTCTTCCTATCATTAAAGGAAAAGTGCTGGTTTTTAAAAAATCTTCTCTTCCTCCGTTTTCTTCTTCTCTCCTTTCTCCCTTCCTCCCTCTCCTTTTTTCTCCTTCCTTCTACTTCTCTTCCTCCACTTCTTCCTACTATCCTCCCCTCCTCCTCCTCCTTTTCCTTATCTTCCTCCTCCCTTCCTCCTCTTCCCTTCCCTTTCTTCTCCTCTTCCTTGTCCTCTTCCTCCTTCTCTTCTTCCATCCTCTTCCTTTTCCTTCTTTTCCTTCTCCCCCCCTCCTCCTCCTTTTCCTTATCTTCCTCTTCCATTCCTCCTTCTCCTCCTCTTCCTCCTCCTCTTCATCCTTCTTTTCCTTATCTTCCTCCTCCCTTCCTCCTCCTCCTTTCCTCCTCCTCCCTTCCCTTCTCTCTCTTCCTCCTCCTCTTCCTCCTTCCTCTTTTTCTTCTCCTTCCCTCCTCCCCTCCTCCACCTCTTCTCCCTTCTACTCCTTCTCTTCCTCCAATTCTTCCTACTGTCCTTCTCCCCTCCTCCTTCTTTTCCTTATCTTCCTCCCCCTCTTCCTCCTCCTACTCCTCTTCCCTCCTCTTCCTCCTCCTTTCTTCTTCTCCCCCCTTCTCCCTTCCTCCATCTCCTTTTTCTCCTTCCTTCCACTTCTTCTTACTCTCCTTCTCTCCTCCTCCTCCTCCTCCTTCTTTTCCTTATATTCTGCCTCCCTTCCTCCTCCTCCTTTCTTCCTTTCCTCCTCTGCTTCCTCCTCCTCTTCTTTTTCTTCTCCCTCTCCTCTTCCCTCCTCTTCTTCCTCCTCCCCCTTCTCCCTTCCCTTCCCCTCCTCCTCCTCTTGCTCTTCTCTTCTTCCTCCTCCTGCTCCTTTTTCTCCTCTTCTTCCTTCCCCCCTCCTCATCCTCTTCCTCCTCTTGATCTCCTCCTCCTCCTCCTCCTCCAGATCACATAACAGTTATATAGGAAGTCTTCTCACTTCCCACCGTTCTCTGGGATCTTGGAAACGGCTCCATTTCTGAATCTGCCTGCACTCATCCCTCTAATCCCAGACTCTCTATCTCTCCGTCTTTCTCGCTCCAGGATGATCGAATGGGTCTCGTGGCCCCTGGGGAACAGCTTGGACAAATGGATCATAGCCTTGCTGAAGAATCTGGCGGCGGTGAAGAAATTCAGCATCTTGATGGAAGTCACGCTTTCCAAAATTGAACGGGTTGGTTTCCTCCTTCATGTGGGATCCGCTTGCAAAAAATAACTTTACGCCATTGTCCAGGCTGTGTTGTGACCGAGGCTTCCCAAGATCATGAAGCCGACTCCTCGTCCCCATAAAACCCCTTTTATTTAGGTTAAAGGAAATTCCTCTCCAGCAAAGTCCCGGCCGAGGGCCAAGGTGGCGCAGTGGTTAGGGTGCAGTACTGCAGGCTACTTCAGCTGACTGCTAGTTCTGCAGCTCGGTGGTTCAAATCTCACCGGCTCAGGGTTGACTCAGCCTTCCATCCTTCCGAGGTGGGTAAAATGAGGACCCGGATTGTTGTTGGGGGCAATATGCTGACTCTGTAAACCGCTTAGAGAGGGCTGAAAGCCCTATGAAGCGGTATATAAGTCTAACTGCTCTTGCTATTGCTATTATATCTTAGTATATCATAAGGAACGCAGTGGCTCAGTG